CAACCTGGACACGTTCCGGACCATGGCGCTGGAGGAGGACCCCATGCCCGTCGTGCCGCACCCTGGCGAAGTCGTTTCGTACTTTGTGGCCGAGGACCGAGGGCCGGCGTCCACGCCGGGCGCCAGCGTGGTACTGTTGGACCAGCGTCCGGCGCCCTTCGCCACCGACGTGCACCTGATGGCCAGCTCCACGGCGCCAGGAGCGCCAGTGACTCCGCTGCTGATCCTGGTGCCCAGTGGCCCCGCCGACGAGCCGTGGACCGCTTCCGTGAGTCCAAGACCACCTCCCTGGACGCCCTCCGTGAGTCCAGGGCCACCACCGTGGGCTTCAGCCGTGAGTCCGAGGCCGCCGCCGTGGACATCCCACGTGAGCCCCAGCTCACCGCCGTCATGGACGGCGCCCTGGAGCCCGTCCTGGCCGGCTCCCGGGAGCCCGACGACGTCGCCGTCGTTGCCAGCCCCCGTGGGCCCCAGGCCACCACCTGCGTGGGCCAGCCCCTCGCCGTCGGCGTCTCACCGCCAGCCGCAGTGGGCGCTGCCGGCGTGGCCCTCGGCCGGCGCTGGCCACCAGCAGCAGCCGGATAGCGCCGAGGCGGCCGCCACCATCGACCTGATGCCGTCAGGACCAGGTACGCGACGATATCACACCGAGTATCACACGGTGTCAGACCGGCGGGCCGACACGCGCTTTCGACCACAAGGGCTGCAATTAAGGTCTCGCGCCGTGCGCTTTACAACCTCCTGTTGTGGGCACCGCTCTTATTTCGGTGAATATATTTATCAGTGTAGCCCTACTCGGTCGCGTGAGAGCGTCGAGGCATGGCGGGACAGGAGGCGCCTAGCGGAGCGCCTGAGGAGAGGGGGGTGGGGCCGATCCGCCCCTCCCCGCCTTCTTCATCATGCATTACTACTACTCCGCGATACCGAGCAAACTTCGGCCCGAGCCCTGGGGTGCAAGACCTCGTCGCCGTCCTAACCTGACCGAGCGAGTTAATTTTGTTGTTGTTGTTGGTCCGATCAACTTTCAGTTCACTTCGGATCGCGGCGAACCATGGTTCTCTAAAGTAAAGTGATGCTTATTCCTGCTGCAGAATCCAACTCGGTGGTGCCGGCAGCACGCCCAGAGGCCACCCTTCACAGCCTGAGGAGCAACATTAGCGCCCTGCTCGACAGCGTCCTGTACCGTCCACCTGCCCCTAGTGCCGCCCAGGACACCGCCCACGCCACCCCCGGCGCTGCGCCCACCGCCGCTAACGACGCCAACGCCACCGCCTCTGAGGTCCCCGAGGCGCACGCTGCAGCGGAGCAGCCCTCGCAGGTGGGTCGAGACACCTCGCCCGCTCCTCCCTGACGGGGCGAGGCAGCCCCGTTATCCGAGCGGAACCAATCTCTGGTTGTCCGCCCGCCCGACAGTCCATCTGCCCTGAGCCGCCAACCTCACCCCTGCCTTCCTTGCAGACCTCCAGGGTGTGCACCTCCGCGGCTGACGGCTCGTCGGGGGTCTGCTACTCGGCGACCGAGTGTCGACGCCGAGGTGGGCGTGCTGAGGACGTCTGCCAGGGGAGCGGGCCCGGGCCGTGGAGCGCGGCCGAGTCAGCCGTGTCCGTGTGCTGCGTGTGTGAGTACCGCGAGGGTGATCGTCTCTAATTGAGAGAGCAGAGAGCAGCTGGCTTCAAACTCCCCTGGGAGTTCTTAGGTAGATGTACCCGGGCGCCGTAAAGCGACAGGAGAAGGTGATTAACCTAAACTGTACACACGCTGTACTTGCGAATCATCCAGAAAGTACGTCCGTCATTCGCCGATATGGACCTTCCAAGTCCAGCCTCGGCAAGCTCTCGGAGCGCCTGATAGGTAGGCAACATGTTACCTTCAGCGCATGCGTGTGCTGCAGGGTGGCCTACCCTCGTTCTCGCAGGCGTCCGGTTCCCGTAATTTGCCGAATGAATACGAGGAAAATGGATGTACTCTCTGGGTAATCCCTTGCACAGCCCCAAGAAACCGTGTTTTCAATAGAGTATTCCGGCGGAAGGATTAGAGAAGACTCATGGAAGAACAAAAGCCTACTGCGCATGAGCAGGCTATGGTGGGGGGCGGCTCGGCCGGCCCTGTGCCGCCTCCCACCCCGGCCCAGCCACTCCCCACCATAGTCTGCTCAAGAGCAGTAGGCTTTTGTTCTTCCATGAGTCTTCTCTAATCCTGCCGCCGGAATACTCTACTCTATTCAAGAGCATCCTCAAATTTCTAAGGCAAATGTTCTTTTCTCAAACCCAATTAACTCCTACAACACGTCATTATAAGGGTTAAAAAAGAACATTTTTAATTAAAAATTTAGGCAAGTTCTTTAATTAAAAACACAGTTTTTAGGTTGAGTATACCTACGAAACATCTTCACGCGTCGGTTTCCAGCTCGCTCGGTTTGTGGCGCCGCCCCTTATCAGACATCATCGTCGTATGTACTGTTAAAATGCTCCCAGTCCTGGCGCCGGGGAGGGTAACATATACATTGCTAGTGGCGTAGATCCGTGTCCGCTCCGCCGAGTGTTCCTAGGAAGCCCCGCGCGCCCGCCCCCTACCCCCACTCCCCT